AGCGCGCCCGCACGCTAGCAAGAAGGGCCAAGCAACAACACAGGTCCCTCCGAGTAAATGCAAAAAAATTAAGGGCAACGTGGAAGGCTCCTTAACGATCGGAATGATTGTGCAAGTGGACATACAGGTTCCCAGGAAACAGCATGGGGCCCCTGGACAACATAATTAGGCTTAAAGTTTTCAATTAATAGTTTTTCAATCATTTAATCCTTTTCTCTTGGGCCCTTCATTTTCGCTTTCAGCTGTTCTCGGTCGCGTGGAAAGACAAAGATGTACAATTTTGTCGTGTTTTGTGTTAAAAGTTGCACCTTTCCAACCGGGTAATGGGCCCTTCGGAGCCTATGAGCCCATCCGGGGCCCAAGGAAGGCATGGTCCGTGCCCTCCCCCCGCCTCCCTGGACCCGTCAATGATGCTGTGTCCGTACCGACCACACTAACTCCTGGTCCAAATTCACATTTCCAGCATTTCGTCTGCACTTATTCAGTACGGATTCTCCCTGCCCTGGTGACCACTAGCTGTGACTACGGCTGGCTGAAATACATCTTTTTACCGCTTATAACGTCAGCAGACTTAATGGCTACGCGAGTGCTTGTCTGCACTTTTAAAACGATTATGCATACCTTGTGTGTAACTGACTGAAACATCAGTAGCCATGCTGTACCCTTGAAGTATGTACATGGTGCTTTTATACCTGGGTTATGATCATGCAGGAATTTAGAACGCTATCCGTGGAAGCCACTATATTTTGAGTGCGAGTGATGTTGAAAACTGAGCTAAAAGTGCCAGTGCGGCTTCGAGGGCGGAGTAGAGCTCCCACTTCCTTGCCTGGCTGCGGGTCTGCCACTGTTGCTGTCCTCACGCCGACGCTGCACCCTGACCCCGTAGCACCAACGACCTTGACGACTCCGAAGAATCCACCACAGTGCAAGGGCAGAAATAAAGCGGTGCTTATCCTGCTGCGAGAAAAAGGCACACGTGTGGTTTGGCCTGTGCAGTGTGCACGACAGCGCGGTGACCGCCCACCGTCAGATTTTTAGCTGATCTGCAGCTGTTTGGGATCTCGTTAGTGTGCTGTTGCGGGCTGTGTCTGCGCGTGGGCCAGTCAGCACGTGCGAAGCGTCGGCTGGAAAAAAGCGGCACGCCTGGGCGAACAACGCGGACTCGAGAGGCCTTGCGGCGGGACTTCGCGACGTCACCGCGCAAGACCATGCAGTGCATGCCGGCAACTGTGTATCGGATGGTCACAGCTGGCACGCTGCCGAGTGGGCTTACGTCATCGCTAATCGGCGCTGGTTTGGGCAGGCGGCAGGCATGCGTGCGCGATAGGCAGCACCACATGGCATGCAGATACGCTGTATTTCTAGCAGTGTTCGATATCTAGACCATTGGTGACCGTTGGCCGGCCATCCTGCTCCCCTGTTTTACATGCGGAGCATCATCCTGCTCCCCTGGGCTAAAAAATGCATTGCCTAGTTGTAGAAATTAGCCAAAGGCAAAGCAACGTCCCAGAAAATAATTTTTGAAGATATTTTTTCAAGCTTTTGTAGGTAAATGCTCGATTCCTCCCATCGATATTAGGTACCCATACACACACACACACACACACACACACACACACACACACACACACACACACACACACACACACACACACACACACACACACACACACACACACACACACACACACACACACACACACACACACACACACACACACACACACACACACGCAAGCACGTATATATATATATATATATATATATATATATATATATATATATATATATATATATATACATGATGTTCAGAGCGTTGGGATGCTGCATCCATCCTCTGCCTCGATATCTCAATTGATTAGGGCACCTGCATTCCCCGATTCATCCATCCGGGCGGGGTGGTTTCGAACCGCTTAAGACGCTTGTTATTCGCCCTGGGCTGGGATACGCTGCCGCCAGTGGCAGCACTCGCGCAAACTGTCAGCTAACGTGAGAGGGCACGGCGAACCGTGCCGAACATTGCAGCGCGTCTAACTTTGCCGCAAAATCGTGCCACTGGTACGGAATTTAACGACCGGATGTTGGGGCCAGGGCTCTCGTGACAAGTACTGCTCAGAGTGGGCGCTGATCCCATAAGTTAAGGAAATTATAAGATGTCAAGGACCATGTCATGAAACCAGCATTCAAATTAAAACTCTTGTTTGGTTTTGAACTTGAGATGGCTGTACTGAATGACCAAAGGTCAATGGAGTCAGTTGTAATCCATATTTAGACTGCCTACTTGTTTAAACATTATATCAAAGTTGTGTGCTTTGATTTCAAACTACGTTGTCACGTGGGCTTGACAAAACTTCCCAAGAATGACCTTAGCTGACAACCGAGGCCTGATTTGGCCCATCCCAGAGGAAAGCGACATTAAAAGTCTATCTTATTTCTTGCACCGCAAAATCGATCATTCACTTGTCTATAGCCACGCGAAGCTTGGCATCACTGGGCTGTGCCGTTCGGAAGTCATTCTGAGGAAAACATTTGGGGAGGTCAAACTTACTCCGCACCCCACCCGAGCACGTACTAGGGCTTGACATCAAACCTCAGCCCCCAGAGCGAAGGCAGAAGACGTCCTGACACCCGCGCGCCGCAGGCGATTGCACAGGCCCCGTGTCGCCACCGAATATTGAATCTCCTCGGCACATACGTTCGCCAGCAATCGACCGGGAAGCGGACAGTGTGATGCTTTCCCTGGTCGATCCGAATGCAAGACCATGTAGCGTAAGCAGGTAAATATTTAGTCATGTAGACTACAAGAGCTTGTAGCCCTGCCTGTTTAGACCATTATTCATTAAAAAACTTGCGTTTTCAATACTCCGGTCACGATTGCAAGTCTGCACATCATTCCGAATTCATTGATGGCGTCGATGTTAAGTACCAACCCTGATCACACCACGAACGCAATTTTTTGTGTGTTTTTGCTATCGGTTGCCTGGGCCGATTGGTATAAGTTGTAGGTGTCTGAGGTGTCTGAGGAGTCGGTGGTGCAAGGCGTCTGACTTCACTAGTCTAGCTTCCGGCGTGATCCGCATAACAGTTAACACACGACATTTTCCGCATCTATCATCGCCTCGCTCGTTTTGCTCCGTCTTACTTGTCGTAGGGCGATAGGCGACATACGTTTGGAAACTGGACCAAGCGACCTGTGGACATTCATGTTCACGGTTCTGATCCCAAATGACTAGACGACCATTTTCAGGAGGCGTTATAACCTTATTGCCATTCTCTGGGGCCAAATAGGGCGGAAGGTGGCCGGAATGAATTCCATGCGGCTGACGCAAACATCCATGCACTAATGCGCAAGTTTCATCAGACTCGACAGGGGACCTTGCGCACCCTGGGTGGATTATGCTACCATCCGCACTCGTCTTGCTTGCATTCGAAGGCTGCGAAGAGGTACACTCCAGGTGCCAGGCGGGAATTTCCCAGCACAACGGTCTCTTGGCTCCATTCCCGTTCATTGCCCAATCAGAACGGGGCTCAGGCATCACCGCGGAGCTGGCGGCTTCAGCGAACTTGAACCACACACTCAATGACAGCTCACCGCCAGCCCTGCGTGTGCGCCTACCGCGACGCAGCAATCATGACAAGTAAGCTCAGTTGGCTTCCCGAACCCCCCCCCCCCCCCCCCCCCTCATGCTCCGAGCTCGTCCATGATCCGGGCAAGCTCCCGAGAACGTTCGTCTCGCGCACGGGCCAACTGGTCGGCGATTGGCCGTCGCTCGTCGTGCGATGACGTCACACGCGTCACGGTGTCGGCGCAGTGTAGTGGTCGGCCGGGCCCATCAAACCAGTTCTGGTAACGCCGGCGCGACCTCTGACGGGCGGCGGCGGGCCTGGCCGCGACGCGCCCGGCCGGGCCGGGAAAGCCGACAGTTACTCAGCTGGTGGCCTCCGGTTGCTGGTCAGGTACCGTGTGCCGCGCGATCGGAGGTGACCGTTCCGTAGGGCTGAGTCAGTCCCGTCCGGTTGACGTAATGGAGGACACAGAGGTCGGGAGCACAACGGCAGGGGCACGCCGACAGGGCTGAAGAAGGAAAGTCGAGCCAGAATACTTGCAAGCGGCGGTGACGGGCTGCATTCGTAGCCGCGGGCGGGCTGTCTGCCTTTCACGTCCGAAAAGTGGGCACGTTTCCTTCTCTTCTATGACACATCCCCCAATACCTGCACAAGCCTTCGGGCTTCGTGTGCATGCCATGGGCAAAAATGTCCCAGCTCTTCCTCTTGTCACAAAGAAATGCGCTTGTCCTTGTAACAAAGCCATTACCCCCAATCTGTGGCAGGGTGGCCGTCACCTGCTCTGCCGTCAGACACGTGGGTGAACATATCTGCTCGCCGACCCTGAAGTTTCAGCAGGCGCCTCAAGGCCGTGTTGTCTAGACTAGATCGCATGGTCATCGGCAATTATGAGACCGGCAACCGGCCATGGCTGAAACCCTAATGCAATGATGAACGGGAGGCCCCAGTAACGGGATGGTCGGGTATGGTCGGGACCAGGAAGCGATTCTTCCTCTCGTTCTGCTATTGTGAACTAGGGACGGCCCAAGTCAACTTCGGATGTAAGTGGATGTGGGCTAAGTCATGACAGACATGCAGGAGGCCTCTGTCACGGCCGTCTGAAGCCGCTGTAAGACGGTAGGAATCTGTTCTGACTTCGAGGAGATCCAGGTGACTTCCACAGGGAGTCGGAGGCCTCCCTGTGGAGGAGGCAGAACCATGCGACGACTTTGTATGATGGGTAGGAAGGTGAACAGGAGGAAGCCCAAACTATGCAAGGATCGTGTGCAATAAAGAGCCAAGGCCCAGCAGGAGGCCCCGGCATGCCCGAGATTGGGCGGGCGATCTGATGCCGCGCCGCGTACTGCAGATGTCCTGAAATGATGAGGTCTGCGGTGCCACGGGAGATCTTCATCATGATACATGTCAACACACCGCCGTATATTGAGAGATTCCTTCTCTTGAGAGCAGGAGGGCTCGTTATTTTTTCTGTCGTGACTGGGAGCATATCCCAGCCCGCAGCTGAGAGGAGGCTTTCGTGATCGTGTGGTCAACCAGTAATACAAAGATTAGTAATGCACTTTGTACACTGTGCTGTTTGATGGTCTGGGTTCGCGGTACGGTAGGCCAAGGGATTACTAGATTACCCGCAGGCAAAGTTAACATAACTCCGTTTGGCGTCATTTAAGTGCCTTGTTCATATTCCATGACAGCTGCCGACATTGAGTAAGGAACTTCTGTGAACTTGGCGATGTTTATGAGCGCTGGTGTTGTAATGAAATCTTCGTGTCCTGAAAATGAAATATACGTCCTCGATAATGTACCGCACATATATTTTCGAAACGGGTTGGCTCACTTTTAGTTCGGAGAAGTGAGAGATTCCAGAAACAAACACGTGGCTAACTTCGTCATAGTTAAATTTACCAAGAACGAATGCTCGGATTTTTACGTATTGTATCACAAAGAAGCCACAGAATGGAGACGTTTATGCGTTGGGAGACATTTTCAGACAGAGGCCTTTTTGCCGTGTGGGTTCAACATGACCGGCCAGCCTTCGTTCCAAACCTTACCTAGAACCGGTGAACGTGGGTAAAGTGCGCAGCATCTTGCGATGTCCGTCGCGCTGCTCGATTACCCAGAGCCGTCCACAGTTGCAAAAGGCATGAGTTGCGGCTGCTGGTTGTCGCGGAACGTCTGGCGCCTCGTCGTCTGCGGCGCATGCGCCGTGTGGGGCTTCTCGGCAGTCTCAAGTCGTGACATCCGTCGGGGCTTAGCAGTCTACGGCAGCCGGTTATGAGTGGAAAGTACGGTGGTGCTGCACTGATGACGCCAGGCACCCCCTCCCCCTGTGGCCTTCTTGCCACGTCCACGCGGCGACCAGAAATCAATATGGGCCTCTGAGAACAGCAGGTAACGCTGCCCACCTGCCCGCCGAAGCATGACCAGTAGAAGGATATATGTACACGTAGTATTCCACATAAGCCAAACAATCTGACAAGCGATGACAGTTTGCACAGCATGCAACGTGTACGGCAATGAGTTGAGAACAGCACATACTGCAGCGAATGTCCCAATGTACAGGACCGGGAAGCGCTGAGGAACGACACGACATGAACGTCGCATACAACAAAAGCAAGGACGCTGAGTCGAGCACGCGCAAAATATCACAGACGCTCGACACCACCCAGCTGGGCTGCGGGACAGCTGGCGAGACGCGACGGCACACCCCCGTGGCGGCGAAGGCGGACACCCTCCCGACCCGCCGTCGTCCGACGAGGCGGCGCGACAGCATCACTCGCCGCCCAGCACCCGGCCGCCGGGCGCCGCTGACTAGAACTCACTCGCGCGGCCCGCGGCCCGCCTACACCACATGGTCGTCCAGCTTGCCGCCGAGCTCGCCGTTGGAGACGGTCGGGCCGGCGCCGTTCTCGCGGCCGATCAAGCCGAGCTTCTCGGAGCGCTGGCGGCGGCGGGCTGCCTTCAGCCGGCGCCCCTTGTGCGGCAGCGCGTACCGCAGGCGCTCCCAGAAGAGGGCGTCGCCCCACTTGAGATACGTGTTCATGCTGATGTAGAGCCGCAGCTCGGGGTCCATGCCGGCCGGGTCGGGCAGCTCGCCATACACCACCACGATCACTCGGTTGCGCTTGTCGTTGAGCGCCTGCTTGTGCGCCGTGAGGAACTCCAGCCGGCCCCACTCGCTGCGAATGAAGTTCTGCGACATGACGACGATCACGCGCCGTGAGTCCTGCACCGACTGCTGGATCTGGTCGGTGATCCACTCGCCGGCCAGCCAGTCGCGGAAGTGCAGGCACAGCGAGTACTTGGGCTCGCCCTGCTCCAGCTGCGGCACCAGCTGCTCCACCACGAACTCCTCGTCCAGGTGCGAGTAGCTGACGAACGCGTCGTACTTCTTGTCGGCGTCCAGCTCCTCCTCGGTGACCAGCCAGAGGCAGAGATTGTGCGCGTACAGCCACACCTTGATCATCTCGCCGTGTCGGTGGTAAACGATAGAGAAAAGCAGCAGGAAAATGGCAATGACGAACGCCACCACGCAGACGGCCACGATGGTGGCCGTGTGCGAGGGGCACAGGTCGGTCGGCTGCATCTCCAGCAGGCTCCGGTTCTGGCCGGCGCACGTCATCTGATCAGCGTCCACGATGCGCAGCGTGTCTCGACTAACGTGCAGCTGCAGATACTGGTGCAACGGTATCAGAGCACAGTCGCACGCGTACGGGTTGTGTCCCAACCACACCTGGGTCTCGTTGTTCTCGGCGGCGTCTAGGAGCTCGAGGAAGTGCTTGCCGATGTGAGAGATGTTGTTGTACTGCACGCTCAGCCGTAGCAGGCCAGGCGGGAGCAGGTCGGGCGTCAGCTCGCTGATGGCGTTGTGGTTGAGCTGGATGTTGAAGAGCGGCGTCGGCGGCCGCGTCTCGTTCGACGAGGGCGGCGCCGTCGCCAGCGTCATGTTGAGCCGCCGAATCTGCGCACCCTCGACGCGCAGCGTGAGGCCAAAGGAGGCCGGCAGGTCGTCGAGTTCTGGCAGCGGACCGGCCGGCACCTGCGGGCACGACACAACTACGGTGCTATCGCTGGGATGCACCACGCAGCTGCAGCCCGGCGTGCAGCCGACTTCGTACGCGCAGAGCAGGTGGTCGGCCGACACGCTGCTGAAGCGCCTGCCGGCCAACGGAGCCGGCCGGGCGCACCGCAGGTCGTCCGTCGCCAGCTGGAACGAGTTGTCCGTCGGCTCGGTGTCGGCGAACGGCCCGCTCCGCTCCAGGAACTGCTTCAGAGTGACCGCGTTACAGTCGCAGACGAACGGGTTGTCGGCGAGGTGGATCCGGTTCTGCGCGCTCGGGTTCTGAAGCGGGGCCGTCAGGGACATGTAAATGGTGGAGACGTTGTTGTGCTGCATGTATATATCGGCATCTCGGCAGACGAAATTGAAGTCGGCAATCTGCAGAATATCCAGCAAGTTGTGGCGCAGGTCGAGCCTCTTAAGCTTCAGCAGATTCAATAGTATTTCATAGGGGATCTGGTCAATCTTGTTGTGCTGCAGGCGCAGTTCTTGAATCTGTCCGATTTCGGCGAAAGCCGGCTCATATGCATCCATCCACAGACTGTTGTTGGATAGATCAAGCAGCGTCAGGCTCTTCGCTAGTCCCACGAACGAGCCCCGGCCAAGGGATGTCAAGTCGTTGTCCTGCATGAAGAGCCGCCCCAACGCGGGCGTATGAGCGAACATCTCCGCCGGGAAACTCGCCAGCCCGTTGTCGTGGAGGTACAACGTGTCCAGGCTGACCAGATCCCTGAGCAGGCCGGCAGGCAGCGTGCGCAACCGGTTGCTGCTCAGGTCCAGGTTCCGCAGGTTCCGCAGACCGGCAAACGTGTTGTCCGGCAAGTCCGACACCTGGTTGTGGTCAATTGTCAGGTTCTTCAGCGAGACCAGCCCGCTGAATAGGCCGTCCGGCAGCTGCTGCAGACCCAGCCGGTCGATCATCAGCAGCTCGAGCTGGTCCAGGCCTCTGAAGATGCCGGCCGGCAGGGTGGACAGGTTGCCAACGACCACGTGACCGTTGACACGCAGTAGCTTTAGCCGCGGCGTGCTCTGGAACAGCGACTCCGGCAGCGAGCGCAGCGCGTTACACTCCATGCGCAGCACCTCCAGACTGGGCAGCGGCGCGAACACGTCGGCCGGCAGCGTCTCCAGCTGGTTTTTGTACAGGTCCAGGTGGCGCAGCCGCGCCAGGTCGCGGAAGTGGGCCCTGCTGAGCGTGCGCAGGCTGTTCCGTCCCACGGACAGCCGCGTCAGATTGTGCAAACCGTGCAGGAGCGCCGTCGGCAGCCGGCCGGCGTTCAAGTTCCACACGCCGAGGCGGCGCAGGCGCGGCGTCGGCCGGAACAGTCCCTCCGGCAGGCTGACGTTGGTGCCTGTGATGGTGAGGTTGTGCAGGTCACCGACCGAGCCGAAGAAGTCGTCGTGCAGCTCGATGCGCGTCAGGCTGTCCAGGTGCAGCGTGACCACGTCGACACCGTCCATGAAGTCTGCCGGCATGGTGTCGTTGAGCACGTCGTGCGATTGCACCTTCACCAGCTCGACGCCGGTAAGGCCGAGTCGTCGGAAGAAGTCCCGTAGACGACCGGCCGGTAGCGGGCACAGACTGAGCACCACGTTGCTTACGTCGCCCAGGCGCAGGTCCAGGTCGAACAGCGCCTCGTAGTCCTCAGCGCGCGCCAAGAGCGGGTTGCACCAGATGAGCAGGCGCGAGTCAGCCCCGGCCGACGCGTTGGTGTAGGACAGCCGCAGCCGGTACTCCTGCTCGTGCAGGCAGAGCACGCCGATGCTGGCCGAGCTGGGAGTGGTGCGCTGGCAGTGCAGCCGCGGGTCGGCCGCCGCCGCCAGCGCCACCGCCAGGGGCGCCAGCGTCGCGGCCAGCCAGCGCCGCAGCATGGCGCCGCCGGACTTCCGGCGCGCGAGGCGCGGTCGATGGAGCGCCGCTCGGCCCCCGTCAGCCGCACCGGACCTTTCCGGCGCAGTTGGATCCTCCGTCGACGCCGCGGATAGCGGCCGATGGCGCAGCTCCCGTGGGTGCGACGAGCCCTGCGAAGTGAAAGGTCGCGTGTTAGTCGGCTGGCGCTGGTGGGACAGACGGCCGTCTCCGCTGGCGCTGATGCGGACAGACGGCCGTCTCCGCTGGCGCTGATGCGGACGAACGGCCGTCTCCGCTGGCGCTGATGCGGACAGACGGCCGTCTCCGCTTAGCGTCGCCAATGAAATAGCCGCGTTACCGGGAAAGGAATGGTGGCTACTACCGCTCCTAAGTGGATTGAGCGCTGCGACCTCCCCGCAACGAGGCAAAAGTGATGCCGACGACGACGGCTGTTGGTGCATGTCAAAGAAAACTTTGGACATGAAACGACATGAAGTCATCAGCTCATATGAAGTGGTGTTGCGAGAGGTGGGACGGAATGGGCAGTTTTCAGCACCAACAGCGTCGGCAGGTATTTGAGGCAAGCATTCAAAGCCCACAATACGGGGAATGCTACACGTTCTCCTTGATTACCTTCCAAGAACACACGAGGTCATCAGTTACTTGCTCCCGCCTATTCGCGTGGGCTTGAGTTACTGGCTGACAATTAAGTGAGTCTTGAGCATGATCTGCTCGCTGCTTACTTAATGAGATCGGCTCGCTCAGCGCCATACCCAGCATCGCCCAGCCTTAACCGCGATGCATGAAGCTGGACTGACGACAGGAACAAATAACCGCACCGGCGCGTGACAGCGCAAGGCGGTAGTGCGGTACTGTTCCCTCAAAACAGCTGTCGTCTCCCGATGCATCGTTCTATATTCCAACCGCCGATTTCAGTATTTAATCTACCCCTCCCGTTCCAATCCCCTCGGAGAGGGACCTTCTCCGAAGTCGCCGCAAGAGGACCGTAAGTCATGCTGCACGACACGCATTTTTCTTGAAGCCTCGCAACATTGCGGAGCCCGGTCCGTTGCCAGGCGCCTGCCGCCAGTTCTTAACCTCATCGGGCCGGCCAAGGCAAACAAAGGCCCGCTGAGCCTGCGCTAGCAGAAAGATGGCTTCTCTGCTGGCCTGGGGAGCGCGAGCCCGATTCCTTGAAGGGCACGTGCTGACAGTAAGGATGTACATCGCCGACAAGGCGCACGAGAGCGGTTTTACTTTCGTCTGGAGAGGCTTTTTTTAGTCGGACAGGTTATGTGTAGATGCACGCCACGGGTAAACGTACTCGTGAGTCCCTACCACATGAGACGAACAACGCCGTCAATAAACAAAAGGCATTTGACCCCCATCACGAGACCGAAAGTGGGTCGTTTGTGCAATGCGTCTAGTGTTGACCCAGCCGTTTCGTTAAGTGCACGGCAGGCCCGCATTAGGCCCGAGGTCATTCTCCGTTTGCAGTTGGACGAGGGCGGGCCGCAGTTCTATACAGAGCGCCGCGCCAGAGCCACGGCTTGACACGTGAGGACGCGCTCCCTACAGCTGGCAATGGTGGACTGTCGGTGGCCGTGACACAAGCTACGAAACGGCGATAGCCGACTGGCCCCACACCGCTCGGAGAAGCCTAGAAGGCCGGCCGGCGGGTGGGGACCCACCGCCTTCGTCGCATTCTACCTCAGTCCAGTTTTCAGAAGGCCTTGGAGGTTCTGGTTTCTCGGCAATACGGGCCTGAGGTCCTGGAAGAGGGGCAGATGACGTGCCCCTCACAGCGCCGGTTCCGTCACCGGCCTGCACAGATTCAGGCTCGTAAGATCGAGTCACGTAATGAATGACGTCACAAGCCTCAGTGACTACGGCAGGGGAGACAGCCGGAGGAAGATTCGGCGACCGCGCATGACGTAGGTAACGCGTCCCTTTCCTATTCCAGGCCGCTTTCGTCAGTTTTCTCAGCATGATGAGCCCTAAACCGAAACGCAAGCAACTAAATAGTTAATCCCCATGCGAACCTTGCTGAGGACAGCACACGCTAGACATCTTCTACCAGACAGCATACACCATATCGACGGCTCATCCGCAATCGCCAGTAACCAGTGACCAGCAGCGAGCGGTGCCCGCGGGCAGTCGCCAGTAACCAGTGATCAGCAGCGAGCGGTGCCCGCGGGCAGTCGCCAGTAACCAGTGATCAGTAGCGAGCGGCGTCCGCGGGCGGTCGCTAGTAACCAGTGACCAGTAGCGAGCGGCGCCAGCGGGCAGTCGCCAGTAACCAGTGACCAGCAGCGAGCGGCGCCCGCGGGCAGTCGCCAGTAACCAGTGACCAGTAGCGAGCGGCGTCCGCGGGCAGTCGCCAGTAACCAGTGACCAGTAGCGAGTGGCGTCCGCGGGCAGTCGCCAGTAACCAGTGATCAGTAGCGAGTGGCGTCCGCGGGCAGTCACCAGTAACCAGTGATCAGTGGCGAGCGGCGTCCGCGGGCAGTCGCCAGTAACCAGTGACCAGTAACGAGCGGCGTCCGCGGGTGGCGCTCGGCCTCCGCTCGCGTGCGTCCGTATCGTGATTGCCGGTCGGATAGCTATACGGGCGGGCCGTCCGCTGACGCATCCCCGTCTGTGTCGTGACGGAGCTCGGTCGGGGCCCGCTACGCCACCACCGGGTCTCCACCGATACAGCCAGCCACGGTACATGGCCGGCAGGCTTCTGCCAACAGTCAGCAACGGTACATGGCCGACAGGACTGCGCCGACACAGCTAGCAGCGGTACATGGCCGGCAGGCTTCTGCCAACAGTCAGCAACGGTACATGGTCGACAGGGCTCCGCCGACACAGTCAGCAACGGTACATGGTCGACAGGGCTCCGCCGACAGTCAGCAGCGGTACATGGTCGACAGGGCACGGCCGACAGGTCTCTGCCCACACAGTCAGCCGTGGTACCAGCAGAAGAGGCCTTCTGATATCACCGCTAGCCTTGTTATCACGCGCAAGACTCCGGAACACAGGCAGCCAGCCAGCTACAGCATCGAAGTCTGACGGCGAGCCACCCTGCCGCCGGCTATACTCTGCTAATACAGTCACCCACGGCCATACTTTGCTAGCATAGCTACCACGGTCATACTCTGCTAATATAGCTACCACGGCCATACTCTGCTAACATAGCTACCCGCAGCACCACTGACAGTGCAGATGGCGTATATCGTGGTCTGTCCGGCAACCGAAACTATTTCCGGGCATTCTACCCAGTAGACAGATTCGGAAGCTACCAGTCTACCTAATCCCGGCGTGTTTGAATGCCAATTGCCTTCATTAAAACCTATCATACTTTCATGCTCCGAAGTCGTTTTCCTCATACTTGTGGATGGAGATGTGCTTCCGGCAGCTACGGGCGTGAACACCGTCCTTCCAGCTGATTCTGTACCAACGTTTATGACGATTCTCTGCTGCCTGCACAGAGGTCATGTCCTCGCAGTTCTCCCACACTCAAGGAACGGTGGAAGACCTACAGAGTTCTGATCGGGAAATTGCCGTGTCGACTATTCCGTGCGTCAGTGATGTGCGAGACAGTTTTCCCGTCCCAGACAAGGCATTCGCCGTCCTAAGCGTGCCAGGCTCATGGCAAACATGGGCAACCCCGCATTTTCCTTGCGGCCTCTTTCGGTGATGATCGGTGAGGGACCTCACCTCCCGCTGCACTTATAAACTGTCCCCATCGCCAATGTATCGTGCTTTCGGTGATGATCGGTGAGGACCTCACCTCCCGCTGCACTTATAAACTGTCCCCATCGCCAATGTATCGTGCTTTCGGTGATGATCGGTGAGGACCTCACCTCCCGCTGCACTTATAAACTGTCCCCACCGCCAATGTATCGTGCTTTCGGTGATGATCGGTGAGGACCTCACCTCCCGCTACACTTATAAACTGTCCCCATCGCCAATGTATCGTGCTTTCGGTGATGATCGGTGAGGACCTCACCTCCCGCTGCACTTATAAACTGTCCCCATCGCCAATGTATCGTGCTTTCAGTAATGATCGGTGAGGGACCTCACCTCCCGCTACACTTATAAACTGTCCCCATCGCCAATGTATCGTGCTTTCGGTGATGATCGGTGAGGACCTCACCTCCCGCTGCACTTATAAACTGTCCCCATCGCCAATGTATCGTGCTTTCAGTAATGATCGGTGAGGGACCTCACCTCCCGCTACACTTATAAACTGCCCCCACCGCCAACGTATCGTGGTTTCGACTCCGATCAATGCCTTGTCTCATGAGCTATGCGCGGCAAGTTTGGTGGTCGGTCCAACGGCAGCTGTGTGGGAAGCGTCTCGGCCTCCCCAGAGAGCCCCGGCGAGCGCACACGTTTGTTATCTCGCGGCACAGCTTTGACGTGGGTGTTCTGCGACATCGCTGTCCCAGTGACGTCATTCGATGGTCGGCCTCGTAACGCCGTCACGGACGTGAGCGTGGTCCAAGCAACGGCGGTTAATAAACAGACCGGGCGGCCCAAAAAAACAGTCACGATGTTTACCTCCTGCATTTTTGTACAGACACTTCCCTTTTTTTTTTAAATCGCATACCTCCGAACGCATTCGACCGAAAAGCTATTGTTCTTCGTGCGATGTTAACCGGTGTTTCGAAAAAAAATATCACACGGTTCGAGATGCGTATTTTTTCCAACATCATGGAATCGAGAATAACCTCAGCAGTGGTAAAAAACCAGGCGGCAGTAGGTTTGACACCAGAACGTGTACCATGCAGACAAAGATGCAGTGATCTCGGTTGTTTGCTGACTGGCAGTTAAAAGTCTAATAGCAGACTAGTTTTGGGCTTGGTAAACGGGCAAATTCCTGACGAAGCCATCGCTTCGTGCCACACGTCGGGTCTAATTTCGTTTATTACGACAAACGAGTGCCCCAGTTTCGGGAAAAGTGGACATGTCGAAGGAGTGATGGGTCAATATATGCGACGCACGGGAGAAGTAAGCCATTAAAAATGAGTCAACACTCTTAGCTTGAACGAAACGCCGCTCAGTATGATGAAGTGCGGCCACGAGCCCAACTCTTTTGGGTGTGTTATTGGTGGATACCATGACGCAAGCAGGCCCGTGGAGATTTATATAACTGCTGTTTATCGCTATATATTGCGGC